GGTGCCACAAGTCAGGTGTTCCATCTCGCCAGGGCCCAGCAGCTTACCAAAGGCATGAGCTGTTTCTCAGGAGAACCATGGTTTACAGAAGGGGGCACAGCTTTGCACTAAAATCCTGGCTCCTGAGCTGAGATTGGCTTCCTGGGGCTGGTCCCAGGTTATATAAGGTCAGCCCAATGTGCTGTAGACACTGGTAGCCTCAGATGATTCCAGCAAGCTTTGTAGCGAGCGCTATGTGTGAGGACAGGGGTACAGAGGCTGGGTCATCCTCGCCATCCAGGGCCCTGGGGACAGGGCTACCTCCTCAGGGAGGGCTGCACAGAGCCTAACTCAGGGGATGGACACAGATGACCTGAGGCCTGGGGTGCTTGACCCCTGCCCTCCACCCTCACTGCCTCCCCCAAGTCCCCTGAGCTCCACCTGCATTCAGTTCACGCAGGGGATCAGAATGGACTCCTGATTTTCTTAGGAGTTACATGAGGACATAGAATGAAGGCCTGTGGTCTCCAACTTGAGTGTGCCTCAAAGTCCACTGCATGGGGAACTTGGTTAAAGGAGAATTGCCCAGGTCCCAGCTCTAGAGAGTCTAATTCAGCAGAGCTGAGTGGTATACCAGAATAGACATTTTATTTATTTTTATTTTTATTTTTTAGAGACAGGGTCTACTTCTGTCACCCAGGCTGGAATGCAGTGGCACTCACTACCACCCCAAACTCCTGGGCTCAAGTGATCCTCCTGCCTCACCCTCCTGAGTAGCTGGGACTATAGACAGGTGTGCACCACCACGCCTGGCTAATTAAAAAATTTTTGTAGGGGCTGGGCACAGTGGCTCACTCCTGTAATCCACTCTGGGAGGCCAAAGCGGGCAGATAATTTGAGGTCAGGAGTTTAAGACCAGCCTGGCCAACATGGTGAAACCCCGTCTCTACTAAAAATACAAAAAAAGGCAGGCTCAGTGGCTCACACCTGTAATCACAACACTTTGGGAGGCCGAGGTGGGTGGATCACAAGGTCAGGAGATCAAGACCAGCCTGGCCAAGATGGTGAAACCTCATCACTACTGAAAATACAAAAATTAGCTGGGCATGGTGGCGGGTGCCTGTAATCCCAGCTACTTGGGAGGCTGAGGCAGAGAATTGCTTGAACCCAGGAGGTGAAGGTTGCAATGAGCCCAGATCATGCCACTGCACTCCAGCCTGGATGACAGAGCAAGACTCTGTCTCAAAAAAAACAAACCAACAACAACAAGAAAAATTAGCCAGGCGTGGTGGCGTGCATCTGTAATCCTAGCTACTTGGGAAGCTGAGGCAGGAGAATCACTTGAACCTGGGAGGTGGAGGTTGCAGTGAGCTGAGATTGCGCCACTGCACTTCAACCTGGGCCACAGCCAGACTCT